ACACATAACAACTAGTCAGTTATTGATGTAACTTCAGTAATGAAGTAAATGAATCACACACGGAAGGCATTAAGGCACAACTATTGCACACCTGTCTTGTGAACAAGACAGACACACTCCTGGACCTCAGGGAGCTGAGTCTGGTAAAGTAGAAAACATGTTACTTCTGCCAGTGGTATCCCATTACACGTATTTTGGGTAAACTTTTATTAACTTCTGCACAGAAAAATTAGTAAGAGTTTAGGAATCAACTTTATATAAAGGGTTTATTTATAACATTAAATAAGATGTGTATTTCTTCCTTAAACAGAAAAACTGGGTTTAACATTAGTTAACACCAGCATTTCAACATGTTTTAAATCTACTTTTTGTGGCAAAATGCCATAGGAATCAGAGGGAGCAAGCAATTTGTCCAATTATATAGACTTTAGCTTCTAGGTATGGTTATTATAGAAATATTGTAAATGTTAATGTCTGTTTATTATAGAGCTTAAAGTTCAATAACCCAAATCTATGAGTGAAAGTCTTTCAACATCTCATGATCAATGTAATAGGCAAATTCCTGCAACTTAAACTCATTTACCTATCACGATCTTACACATTTGTGGAATCAAATAATTAAATGTCTGTGACATGTCCAAGACTCTTAAGAGTTTTCCTTTTTAAGTTCCTAAGGAGCTCTGGTGTCATAGTGCCTAAGACATTTGACTGCTAACGAGAAGACGGCCGGTTTAAACCCACCAGCCACTTCTCAGAAGGAAGGTTGAACAATCTACTTCCATAATGATATCGCCTAGGAAACCCAAGGAGGGGTTGCTGAGTCGGGAGCAACTCGATGGTCAGTGAATTTGGTTTGGGGGAGTTTTTTTTTGGGAGCTCTGGTAGCACAGTGCCTAAGGCATTTCACTGCTAACCAGAAGGCTGGCGGTTCAAACCCACCAGCCATTCCTCGTAAGGAAGATTGGGCAATCTACTTCCATAGTGATACCGCCTTGGAAACCCAAGGAGGGGTCGCTATGAGTTGGGTCCTATGAGTCAGGTCCCACAGGAGGGCACATAACAACAACAATAAAAGATAACTGATGACAATGAAGTAGTTAGCTTCCCACCAAGGCTTTGAACTGATTCATGCATACCAGTTCAATGCCCTGGTGAGAATATTCATTTCCACCCCAGATATAGGCAATCAGAATTTATACTTTAACAAGATCCTCAAGTGATACTTATGCATACAGAAGAATCACCTGGGGATCCTGTGAAACTCTAGATTCTGACTGAATACATCTGGGGTGGAAATGAAACTTCTTACCAGCGGGGGTCAAACCAGGATGAACCAGTTCCAATCCTTGCTCCTCACTATTCCTCAGTCAAGTATAAGAGATAAAGGAGTCAAGTACTGATTCTAATTCTGCTTATGATTCTTGTTGTGTTACACTCATCAAGTAAATGAAAGGTTTTGTACCTGAACAAAGGAGCTCTGGTGGTGTAGTAGATAAGGCACTTGAGTACTAACCGGAAGGTCAATGGTTCAAACCCACCAGCTGCTCGGAGGAAAGAAGATGGGGCAATCTACTTCCGTAAAGATTTATAGCCTCAGAAACCTAATGAGGGTAGCTACGACAACTCGATGGCAGTGAGTTTGGTGTTTTGGGTTTGGTACCTCAATTTGTAAAGTAGAGTACCAGAACTCTTCCAATTCCAAATTTAAATTAAAAATTCCAGCAAAAGTTCAAGAATTTATCTACAATATTACTAATATGTGATACTACTACTTCCCAATAATAATCATTAAGTTCACAGATTTCGATTGCATTTTCATCACTAAATCCATTTCTAAAACAAAAACTTTTACATCATCATCTACTTTCCCTCCCTAGTATGCATTTTTGTGCCTACTTTATCACTGGCTTTTAAGTCTTAACAATGAATGCTTGACAAGTACTGAGTTATACTCATTTTGTAGTTGGTTCATCTCACATTATCCTAACACATCACCCACTCCCATACACAAACAGAGCTCATAAATTGTATTCTGACACATCAAATGTTGACTGAATTAATTCTCACTGATTAAAACTATGTACTTTAATAACTGACTCCGGTAGCATAGTGCCTAAGGCATTTGACTGCTAACCAGAAGGCTGGCGGTTCAAACCCACCAGCCACTCCTCGGAAGGAAGATGAGGCAATCTACTTCCATAGCGATACTGTCTCGGCAACCCAAGGAGGGGTCGCTATGTGTCGGGTCCGACTCAACGGCACATAACAACTACTACTACTACTAATTAAAAGTAGTTTCCTTTACTCACTAATACCTGGCTTTTAAACTTCTCCAAAAAAGAAGGTGGGGATTTTTAAAGATTTAGTTTAAAATAAAACTCCTATAACCTAATCAATGAACTGTTTGAAAATAGAGCCACTATCTAATTCCACCATCTCCACTCCCTAATCACCTGCCACTCACTCAATGACCATCAGGTGAATGAAGAATAAGCTTAAAAACCCACTGCCATCAAGTCAATTCCACCTCATAGCAAGCCTACAGGACAGAATATAAATACCCCATGGAGTTTTCATATATCCTTAAGGTAGCAGACTACCTCATCAGCTCACCATGAGAGCTCCTCTGAATAAACCTAGCACATAGAATTGCAAAAATGATAATCTCCAAGAACTTTTTGATTTCAAGGAAGAGAAAACAGCAAAATAAAATAATAAAGAACCTAAATAAATTGGAAAAAGATGCAAAATCTCAAGGCTGTCAACTTTTACTTTACCAAAAAGGTTTAAGAAATTAAATACCATCCACAGATATTCATAATTGATAAAAAGGCACTGACACTTCATTTTTAACGAGGATCAACTCTGATGAAATGCTTTACTTTTCTCTTTTGAATCTTCAATCTAAGGCATGAATCATAGGAATTTATTTTCCTAGTACAGAGACAGATAACAATGAAAAGATAGGATGGACAAGTTTATATAATCTCTTAAAGGAGTTTAGCCTTTGATTGCAGAATCTGACTTCAGGAAAATATGACCAAAAAAAAAAAAAACAAACTAATATTTAGTGTTTTATAAAGACAGCACTGCATCAGTGTACAAGACATGAACTAGGGAAGAATAACTGAAGTCAGGAAGCCCAGAAGTGACTTTTATAGTTATCTAGGCATGTAGAGGTTCCAGGACTGGGCAAGGATGGCAAAACAGTAAGTCACAAAGCAGGAACTATGATTTTATAAAACTGTTATATGTGGGCATTACTCATTAAATTCCTTCCTTGACTACCTGCCTACTGGGAGCTCTGGTAGTGTAGTGCCTAAGGCATCTGACTGCTAACCAGAAGACTGGCAGTTTAAACCCACCAGCCACACCTCGGAAGTGATACTGCCTTGCTTTGGAGACCCAAGGAGGGGTCCCACTGAGTCAGGTCCAACTTGACAGCACGTACCTGTACCTGACAACATACTATCTCCTTTTTACAGGCAAAGAAATTAAGGCTCATAGAATCCAGGTAATTTGCTCTAAGTTCCAGTTAGGACTTAAATCAAGATTTACCTAACTCCCATATCCTTATTCTTTGGATCATGGGTTACTTATATTTCAAAATAACTGTCTGTCTGAACATCTGAAGGGAAAAGAGAACATCATGGTAGATTTCATATATAAACAAAAGAGGTATTACTGTGATTTCATGATCTCTAGCAAAAAAAAATAATAATTATGCATGTAGCTGCAGTGGGACACTTGCAAATATAATCGGATATGGTTTGGAGGGTGGGTCAGTTTTTGCTCTTAAACATTTGACCCTATAGTCAAAAGTGAGAGAAAAAACAAACACTAAATTCAAGGCTTATTGCCGCAGAAGGGAAATGGGTGCAAAGAAAGAAAGATTGAACTCAGATAAGTAAATAAACTATCTTGGACAACCTGAGAAAAAGAACAGAAGACTGAACGTAAGGAACCATTAGCTGTTAAAGAACACGGTCACTGAAGCATGACGACTCTGCTGGTGTAGGAAAACGAAAAATTAAAGAGGATCAACAGGCCTAATGCAATTTGAATAAGTCCCCTCCCTCAAAAATTAGTCACACAGTAAATACAGCAGTTGTGGCACATTTTCATCAATTACAACCTTCCCAAGACTATGGTAATGTTAAAAGTTAAAAGAAATCCAAAAATCACCATCTAATCTAGACCCCTCTCCAAACAGGTACTGATCAGGTATTGATCCTTTAACACCCTTAGGGCCTAGGAGCTCGACATATCAAAAGATACTCCATTCTAGCAACAGCAATTCTGTATTTCAATGAAATTTTATCTCCCAAATTCTCCATTACTTCCACCCATTTGTACCTAGCTGTGCCCTTCCGGAACTACGCACAATGTTTTTATCAAAATAGTGTTCAGGATTTCTTTTCAGCCCTAAATTCTAATTATCTTTTCCAAAATCCTGTTTTCCAAAATCAATATTCTAGCAACTAAATAGGCAATTTTTGCCATTCTGCTTATTTAACTGAACAGCCAGAAGTTGGCTGCAGATGCTTCTCGAGAATAATCTACTTGCACGGCTTCTTAAACATGCTCGTTCACTAAAGTGCCAGCTTTGATCGTGGCATTAGGGGTTTCCAAAATTCAGCCTAACAGAAACTCTTCTGAATCTGCGCATTAGGTCCGCATAATCCTACCATGAAATAAATACAGGAGCCTGAAACTCATAGCAGGCCTACATTTTTTTTTCAGCCGCGTCCAAGACAGTTAAATAGTAAGTGAAGAGGGGAGTCTGATCAAAGAAATGGAATGTTAGGCCATACGGAGAACGAAGATCAAAACGGCAGGCCTGGTCTTTTCCAGTGAGTCCAAGTCTCTGGGTGGAGCGATGGGCTCCGCGCGAGGCAGATTAACCACCCCAACCCCCCATTCTCCGCCCCGCAACGACCTAGGCCCCATCGTCCCACTCCCGCTCCCCGCCTCCGCCCGTCACCTATCGCCGCACTAACCTTTCTCCTCCCGGCTGTCGGCCGCCATTGCTCCCCTCCTGTTTCCGCTGCTGCCGCCGCCGCCGCTTCGACGCGACTCGCGCGGGCGCCGCAGCCGCGGCAGCAATAGCACGGGCCCGTCCGTCAGTCCGTCCGCCGGGCCGCACGCTTCACACTTGGCCTCTACCACTCACCCTTCTCGACTCACCCTTTTTCTCCCCTCTTCTTCCCTTTCTCCCTTTTCCCCTTCTCTCACTCCAGGCTCCTGAGAGGCCTAGGCCCAGGCTTTCAGATGGGGCTTGAAGAAGGGAGGGGGAAAAGGGGAGGGAAGGGAAACAGATGGCGACGGCGGGCGGCGCTAAAATGGAGCCCGCTTCCTGCGTGAAACAATCCCGCTCCCGAAAAGCCTTGCGCTGTTTACGCTTCGTTCCTCTCTGGGAACGTCACAGTGCGGAGAGGGGCGGAGAGGCGAAATGGGGAAGGGAAGTAACTTGACGTCACGACGTCGCCCCGCCCCGCGTAACCCTATCGTCCCGGGAAACGGTCTTATTTCCGGTGATTGGGTGATCCAGGTTGGTTATTGACAGTCGGCGTAGTTCATTGGCGCAGTTTCTCAAGCGAAGCGATCTGTGGAGTTCTATAATGTGTGGGCCTTTTCGACCCAAGACGATCTGCAGTACTCTTAGTGCTGCATTCGAAGTCTTATTGGGAACAAGTACGGACAGGCTCCGTTGAAGCCACCACTTTCTCTTCTGTGTACGTTTTTCTTAAGGCCCCAGGCTTACCCAAAGGCAGCGCTGGACAACTCTCTTACCATGAAAGCGTGCAAGTTTTTGTTTGTTTTTAAATTGGAGGAAGGAGTTGAGGAAGAGCACTCCAAATTAACTTAGGGCCCCTGACAGGAGATGGTGGCTATGCTAACTTCTGAGGCTAAAACTGCATTTATAATCAAAAGTAACCTTTGTATCAGGAGTACAGACTGTCTTTTCTGTAACTCTTAACAGTACCCTCAGAAAATTATTTGGTAAATAATTCCAGAAGACAATGTAAAATGTTTGTTTACAGGAATTATTTCCTGACTAGCAAGCCAGGCACAAAAGAATTCACAGAACAGATCTATTCAAAGCAGACTTTAGAATTACTATGTCCTCCCTGCAATCACACAAAGAGGGCATCCTGGCCATCTGTTTCTTAAAAAGTTACATTTCTACTCCCCTTAACTCATCGGGAGCAACCTTGAGAAACTTTTTAAGGAACACTGTGCATTCTATTAGTTGCACCCAGAAGTGCCTTGAAAGAAAGGTCTGGCTATCTACCTCAGAAAGATCACAGCCTTGAAAACCCTGTGCATCACGGTTCTACTCTGACACAAGTCAAAATCATCTGTATGGCAAGTGAGTTGGTTTGATTTGGTTTAGTGACACAGTCAGAGAAAGAAGTAGTCCAGGGTGTTGTTACTTGATGGCCATTGTAAAGAATTAGACCAATCTCAGGGAACAGTGGTGTTCAGTGGTAGAATCCTTTCCTTCCATACGGGAGACCCATGTTTGATTCCTGGCCAGTATACCCCATGTGTAGCCACCATCTGTCAGTGGAGACTTGCATATTATTAGGTTTCAGTGGAGCTTCCAGATAAAGATGGACTAGGAAGAAAGACCTGGTGATCTATTTCCAAAAATCAGCCAACAGATTACAATGAGCTGACACTGTTATGCATTGGCTTGACACGAGTAGGGGCCAACTCAGTGGCAGCTAACAACATTCTTTAGCATCTTTGTAAACAAGAATTTAAAGATTATTCTCAAAGAGTTGCTGTAATGTTTATCAGGATTAAAAAATTTCAGTTAAGTGTTTGATACCCAGTAACTATTGTTATTTTTATTATTTCGTAGGTCAGGAAAGATTATACAGTTAAATGGATTGGTCTATATATTGTTGTTGGTGAACTTAACCAGAAAATATAATACTAAATTACTCTAGATAAATTTTGGCTGCCGATTATTTGAATGTACATGATTTCATGGGTAAAAACTGTTGAAATGAAAGCATGTAGCCAAAAATCCTTTTCAGACCTTAGGAAGCATCACAGTAATATTTAAAAAAAAAAAAAAAGAAACCAAACTTGCTGCCATAGAGTCCATTTTAAACCAATGGTAATGAATTGTGAATTGAGATTAACAGAACCCAACAGTAAAAGAGCTCTGTGCTATACATACGCAGACCTCATGCAATGAGATTTGAATTACTATAACATTGAGATCAGAATGGAGTATTACAAGTTAAAAACCAAGGGAGAGCAATGTCAGGGAAGTTTGCAGATCCAGCCCTGTTAGGAGGAGACTTCAACATCTCACCTAATCCCTGATACCCAAATGAAACATCTGAAAGGCCACACCATGAAAATAAGGACTTTAGGCCTAGTGTAAAAGGTAATCATGACCCACTCTAACAAAAATTAAAACCAAGGCCCAACAAGATAAACATGGGAAACAAAGTTTGGAGGTTGAGTTGTGCTAGATTTGAAAAGGTTAAAAAACACCTTGGATTTTTCCAGATCTTCACCTATAAAGTTAAAAACCATGTCTACAAAAATTCAGGAGTCCGTGAGTGGTTTGTGGTTAAGCGATCGGCTCCCACCACTAGACTGGTAATTCAAAACACCTAATAGCACCCCAGAAGAAAGGCCTAGCAACCTGCTTCTGAACGATCACAGCCTCTCACAGCCATGAAAATCCTGTGCAGTGCAGGTATACTCGACAACAAATGGGTTTGGGGTAAGTTGGATTTACTAGATGGTAAGCAGATTGGTTTTGCTTTCTACAAAAATTCAAGATTAGCCTTCAGACGGCAGCAGTCCTAGTTGACACCTGACTACAATTTCATGAGGCAGAACTTGCTCAGCTGAGTGGTTCTCAAATTCCTGACCAAAACAGATGGTATAAGAAACTATAATTATAGGTTGTTTTTAACCCATTAAATTTTGGAGTGTTTTGTTACCGAGTGTAGTGCAGTGAACTACTTAATATGATTCTTTATGCCTCCCATCAGGTGACTGGGTGGAGCTATGCAAATATGAGATGCTTGTGACCCACCATGGGGATTGGAAAGCTTGCTAATAATGTAACTAAGGTGCACGGCACCCTTGTAGGGGTGGAACCATGCAAATAAGGTGTATAGAACCCTAATTTGAGGACCGACCCATTTTGCCATCTCTCTATGCTTAAAATGAGCCATCCCAGAGGCAGAAAGGGGATCTCACTACCATCAGGAAAGAAGAACCAGTAGTGGAGCACATCTTGGACCTGAGATCCCTGCACTTTATCAGAGAAAGAGAGAGAGCAGTAACACTTGGCTAAGGTGGTAAGAGACGGCAGAGAGATAGGAAGGAGCTGGCACAGAAGTAAGAGAGAGTGCAGAGAGATGGTGGCAGCAGAGGCAGCAGAGGCGGCAGAACCAGGAGACCAGCACAAGACAGAGCCACGGGCCTCCTGGCCCACAGAGTGAGAAAGCTGAGTGTTTTCAGGCAGAAGGCTTGCTGGCAGAGTGAGTGCCTCTATGGGCATCTATCAGCAAAAGCTAAAAAATCGTTGTAACATGTGCCTGAACAGGGCAGAGGCTGAAACCAGAAAGAAGTGTGTCTGTGGCACAGCTGAGAGGAAGCTAATTGAAGAACTGTGTCGTGAGTAGTTTTCTGATCCTGAATTGTAACCTGTTACTTCCCTAATAAACCCCATATTTTGAGATTGTCTGTGAGTTCTTTGTGGCCATTGCAATAAATTAATGAACCCAGCAAAAAAGTAGAGAGTGCTATGGGAGGGATGATTAGTGTCAGAACTGGCAAAAATGGTTAGAAGGCGGCAGCATGTCTGACCTCTCTCTGCCTTAAAGGAATAAACCTTGGGCTGTTGATGCTGATGCTCTCTTCCCCTTGAGAAGTTAGAGGTCAGAAGCCACAACCATACCCCTTTTGCACATAGCAACATAGCAATAGATAACAATAGATACACAAGTCAATAAATAATTGTATTTATGTTGTTGTTGTTGTTATGTGCCATCGAGTCAAACCCGACTCATAGAGACCCCTCCTTGGGTTTCCGAGGCAGTATCACTACGGAAGTAGGATTGCCCAACCTTCCTTCCGAGGAGTGGCTGGTGGGTTTGAACTGCCAGCCTTCTGGTTAGCAGTCAAGTGCTTTAGCCACTATGCTACCAGATATTTATATATAAAGTCAGATCCGGCTCATAGTGACCCCTCCTTGGGTTTCTGAGGTGGTATCATTACGGAAGTAGATTGCCCAACGTTTCTTCCGAGGAGTGGCTGGTGGGTTTGAAGCACCACCCTTCTGGTTAGCAGTCAAATGCCTTAGGCACTATGCCACAAGAGCTCCTATTTATATATATAGCAAGAACTAACTGAAATATAAAATTTAAAAATATTTACAGGAGTTTTAAAAACATAAAATACTTAGAAATACAGGTATGTGTCATTTAATGTCCATTCAAGCAATATCCAATTCCACATACATCCGTGGTCCGATGTTTTGTTTTGTTTTGTTTTTAAGAGAAAGCGACTCTCCTTTTATTTACTGTTTTCTCTAATGGTTTTAAACACCCCAAAATCCCAGAGTGAATGAGTAGCAGGGCTCCAGGGTGCATCCCAATCTTGGCAAGGCCTACTCCTCTACCTCCTCCTGGCTTCTTCATTCATCTGCCCAAAAGCCATGCAGCCTTTCACTCTCTGTGCAGTAAGCGATTGCTATAGCATGCCTGCCTTGCATACTGGTGGCACCAGCTAAGACTGAAGTACTTGCAGGCTTTTAGCTCTGGGCAGCTTCAGTGGCTGCACATGATCAGGAAATGCATCAACAGGGCAGTGACAGCAGGGCTGCCACCGCCAGCCACACTCCTGGCACCCACATCCTACTCCCTGCTCAGTCCCTGTGGTCACCTCTCTACCCAACAACCTACAACCCCTGAAACCCAACATGCACAAAGTCCCAATCCAGCTGCTAGCACAGCCCCTGCCGGATCCAGCCACACACTCAGTAAGGCTAGCCTCCTGTATCCAGTGGATACAGCTCTCCAGCTTTGTTGGGTGGTCTCCCATAAGGTTTTAATATAGTAGGCTTTATAGGGATCTGTTAGGAGCTCTGGTGGCATAGCAGATAAGGCATTTGACTGCTACCCAGGTCAGCAGTTCAAACCCATTAGCCACTCTGCAGAAGGAAGAAGGGGCGATTTACTTCCATAAAGATTTACAGCCTTGGAAACCCAATGGGGGTTGCTATGAGTTGAATTCGACTCGATGGCAGTGACTTTGATTTTTTTTTTTTTTTTTTTTTTTGGTTATAGGAATCTGGTGGCATAGTGGGTAAGGCAGTGGTCTGCTAACCAGAAGGTCAGTG